CTGTGCTTCAGTCTGTGCTTCAGTCAGTGCTTCTGTCTGTGCTTCAGTCTGTGCTTCAGTCAGTGCTTCAGTCTGTGCTCCTCAGTCTGAGCTTCAGTCTGCAGAGCTTCAGTCTGTGCTTCAGTCTGTATAGCTTCAGTCTGTACTTCAGTCTGCAGAGCTTCAGTCTGCAGAGCTTCAGTCTGTGCTTCAGTCTGTGCTTCAGTCTGAGCTTCAGTCTGCAGAGCTTCAGTCTGCACTTCAGTCTGCAGAGCTTCAGTCTGAACTTCAGTCAGTGCTTCAGTCAGTGCTTCAGTCTGTACTTCAGTCAGTGCTTCAGTCAGTGCTTCAGTCTGTGCTTCAGTCTGTATAGCTTCAGTCTGAGCTTCAGTCTGTGCTTCAGTCAGTGCTTCAGTCAGTGCTTCAGTCTGAGCTTCAGTCTGTGCTTCAGTCAGTGCTTCAGTCTGTGCTTCTGTCTGTGCTTCAGTCTGTGCTTCAGTCTGTGCTTCAGTCAGTGCTTCAGTCTGTGCTTCAGTCTCTGCTTCAGTCTGAGCTTCAGTCTGTGCTTCAGTCAGTGCTTCAGTCTGTGCTTCAGTCTGTGCTTCAGTCTGTGCTTCAGTCTGTGCTTCAGTCTGTGCTTCAGTCAGTGCTTCAGTCTGTGCTTCAGTCTGTGCTTCAGTCTGTGCTTCAGTCTCTGCTTCAGTCTCTGCTTCAGTCTGTGCTTCAGTCTCTGCTTCAGTCTGTGCTTCAGTCTCTGCTTCAGTCTCTGCTTCAGTCTGTGCTTCAGTCTGTGCTTCGTTGATCATCAGGTTCTCAGTCTGGAGGTCTGGCTGCAGCTGGATGGGGCTCCTGGTCCAGTCCTCCGGCAGCGTTGTGGTGCTCTGTAAGTCCTCTGGGCTCAGGGTGGAGCCCCCTGCCAGCATCACAGCACAGAGCAGCGTGCACCGCAGCATCCAGAGTGGTGTGCTCCGAGTGGGGGGTCCACGTTTGGGAGACATGGGGTCAGCTAATGAGGAAGAAGAGCTCCGTAAGAGGGACGATTCACAGCCTCATGGTCTAGTCTCAGCGAGAAGATCCTTTAGAGGAAAGTTTCTCTCCTCTCCTCTTCTCTTACCTCTTTTCTTCTTCTCTCCTCACTCCCTCAGCGGAGAGAGGAAAAACCCCTCTGCGCTCCCCCTCATGATGTTGCCGCGCTGTAAGAGATAGGACAGAGAAGCCAGTAAAGGAGAGTGTATGATAGTGTGTGTGTGTGTGTGTGTGTGTGTGTGTAGATCCAGCTGTAATCTGCTCTCACATGCTGTTGTTTCCTCTCCGGCTCTCCTCTCTGTCCCTCACTGCTCTCTCTCTCTCTCTCTCTCTCTCTCTCCCCCCCCCTCTTACCTCCCGCTGGGCTGACTGAGCTCTTGCGTAACACTCACTCATTCGCTGAGCTGTGCTGAGCTGTAACTCATGCAGCCCTAAGTCCTTTCCCTCTCTGCCCCTCACTCTGTACTTCCCCTGTAATGGTTGTATGCGCAGTTGAATTAAACAATTTAGGCAATATTTGCTGATGGCTCACGTCAATAGATCACAATGTACTTAGCAACTCAACTGGTTGGAAAACAGATTGAAAACTAAAGCTGAATGTAGGTATATACTGTGGAATGGTTTAACTAAGCCCAACGTCCCAATAGCTGCAAACCACTTTGGTGCATGTATCCACACAAATCCCCAACCCTAACCCTAACCCCGCCACATTTCAGACCACACTGTGGCTAATTGTGGGTATATAACCCTAACCCTGTGAGTGACCTTTAAACCATGAATGAGTTTCTTATGTAGGAGGTATTTGCTGCAGGACTTCTGTTTACAGAAGTATAAATTGAACTGAAGAGGTCTGTGTGATTTGAATGGAGGGAACTTAGCAGCAGTTGCTAAAGTATGCTAGCCTTGAGGTTTGCAGCTCTGTAAGGCTCCGTTTCATACTGATAACAAACAAACAAACCTCTGTGTTATTCAGGAGTCACTTTGACGATGTGAGGTTTTGCATGGCATATCATTTATTAGAGCAAAACAAATGTGTTATTGCTGTGGTGTAATACATCCCACAGACCAATGTTAGTAGACAAATAATCACATTAATATATATATATATATATATATTATATTTAT